TATTAAAAAACAAATATTGAGATTGACTTTAGACAAAAGTTAAAACAAAATAAACTGTTCGTGGTTCAAACTTCGTTTTTAGATTTCAATCTATCAAATCTAAAGCTTTGCAGTTTTCGACATTATATTTTAATATAACTTTTAGTGACTTATAGAAATGTAACCATGTCTTTTGATATATATTTACATTTAACTTTTTATACGAGATTGTATTATTGCCACTTACGCCAATTAAAAATCAACCCAGCAATGATTAAATTTACAAATATTAATATTAATTTATTTTTAATTTGTTACAAAATCACTAAAAAAGAAAAATATCAACATATCAATTTGCCTATATTTTTCTCCTTAGATCACGATTAATATTGTAATCTTTATAACTAAAAATGTAAAAATTCTGGGCAATTGAATTTAAAAAAAAGAAATAAAGAATATTTTGATTAATATATTTCCTTATTTTAAATAATTAAATAAAATTAATTTAAATTGAATCAATAGTGTTATTATAGTTTTTATTTATGAAAGATACATTTCATAATATTATTCAATAACTTTTTTAAATCCTCTAACTATTACCATAGCAAAAGACAATGATTTACAAATTCTCAAATTCCACATAAATTACGAACTTTGGATGATTATTCAAAATTTAAATAAAATATTTTTAAGATATTTTAGCCATATTTATACTGTTTTCATAATTTAAACTTTTCTGAAATGTTAACTCTTTTCAATATTTATTTTACACAATTGAATATACATTTTATTCATATATTTTAATTTTTAGTTTTGTTTGTTTCATTAAATACAAGTATTAAAATGTAAAAAGTTAATTTATACATAATTTATACCAATGTTTTACTCGAATAATTATTGAATTAATAATATTAGAATAATTCAAAAATCGTATAAATCATATAAGTATACAATCGACTTAATTTCGGAGATATAGTAATTTTCTTTTTCATTTCATGCACAATATACAAATTTAAATATACATTTTTTGTATTTTAAAAATTTGTTGTTGTGCAATAATAATTTATAAAAATAAAAGCTATTAGTTCTATCGTCTATGTAGTTATTATTATTTTATTATTCATATTAAATCTATATTAAGTCATTGATTTACACTTTCCTTTATAAATATATTATTTTCTATAGGTAATAAATTATAAAACTAAACTATTTATTCTACCTTATATACATAATATATTCGTATTTTACATATTAATTGGTATCATACGATGTATTTCAAGTATTTTATTTTATACGTCCAGTATCAATCAAAAAATTAATTAATTCAGAATGATTTCAAAACTAAAACTATTTTTAATTAAAATAAATAATTAATGTTCATAATATTATTTCACTGTAAATATGTTAATAAATAATATTACAGCTTTATTAAAAGTTGACTGAATTCTTAAATTTTAAAAACGTATACTACATACAACATTATAATATCAACATACTTAATCATTATATTAGTTCAAAGTACAATATAATAACTTTACTTAAGATATATTTTTAACATTAACTATATAATATAATACGTATAAATAAATAAAACTTAATATAATTACAGAGTTTTAAATATTTACAATAATTTTTTATAAAGAAATCTTATATTTATATGAAATATTTAAATTTAAAATTAATCCCAATATTCAAGTATAAAATATCTTTTATTTAAACACCTTAGAAACAAAACCCTATTAATTAAGCGAAACACTATACATCTATTTCAACATTTTTAAAAACGTCGTGGATGTCATGATTTTTTTTTCTTTTATATTTTTACTTCTATGCTGAAAATAAGATATACCTTCATAATCGCATCATGTTTTGCAACAATAATAAAAAGTCAGACATGTCTATCGTTCCGTTTTTGTGTCCACTTCATCATTATTTATTTAATATTATGTTATATTGTATATGTGTATATCATAATAATATATATATATTTACAATGTCCAGCTAGTAACCTTGACATGAATACCGGAAAATCCAAAAAGAAAAAACGGAGAAGCAAATTACCTTTACTTTCACCCGTGAGGCGTCAATCTGGTCCCGACGACGATGATTGCGCAACGGTCTCTAGATGAGGTATGGTCCGTTGAACGTAACTGCCGCCGCAGCCGAGATTGTTGTCACTGTTACATATCTCCGATACAATTTTGACGTTAAACCCTGTCCGACCGTTATTGTTTAAAGATAGAAAAAAAAAATAATAACAATAAAAAAAAAAAAAAATGGCCAATTTGATGCTGTAACCGCCGACACAATATTGCAAAACCAATAATCCCAATGGATACGTCTCGTCAATAATTTTCCAAACAATATCTTCAAACGTATCAACAGATCGTACAACGGCAATGATATGTGGTTTTTATCTGTCCCTCACTACCCTAACAAAATCAATAATAAAAATAATTCGATTTGCGTGTAAATTTAAGAAGGTATTTAATAATAACAATTATAAACTGCGTACAGCAGAGTACAGCCGTCGGAACGTAGATTCGTACATACAAGTATACAACTAAACTAATGACGACGTACGATTTCGTTAACACCATAAGACTTATATTACTATACTTGGAATATTTTTTTTTTACTCTTCACGTTCTAAGAATACGTGTTGTAAAAAATAAGGAGAAAAAAGCAGTTAATTTGTTGAGAACAATTTCATGAAAAATTCTGATTTCGTCACAGCTTGCGAATTACTGATGAGTCGATCCAAAAATATAATATAATTCTAAACACAACAATAAAACAATCGAATAACAGTAAATGGTGACTTATTGTTATTTTAAAACCCACAAGAAAGAGAAATTTCACATTTCCGGATGGTTGGGAAAGAATTCATAGAAAACTCATATTGGCTGGTCACTTCATCGATAATGGCCATCTATAATATTGATGTTGCACACCTTCAATATCTATTCACTATAAACGTTTCACTGTTTCAGTCATGCAAAGACAGTGATTCTATTAATGTGTTTGGTGCAATTACTACAGCACAAGGACTATCTGTCCAATTTTAACGTTAATGTACCAGGTAAACTTTGCCTTTCATTTACGTTACTGTGCTTTAATTGTATTATTTTGTTTATTTGTAGATGTTTTTTTTGATATGGTGGATATTGATCATCGATTGTGTAGTGGAATTCAAAATAATTTATGGGTAGGTATTTTACATTTACTATTATATACTAAGTATTAATACATATTGAATAAATAATTATAACAGATACATTATAAAACACAGGTAAATATTTGTTTAAGATGCCATCCTAACATTTTATAAACACATTCAGTACTATAATCATCGTAAAAAATGTAATTTTAATTTAATATAAACTTTTAGTGATAAAAAGTATATAAAAATGTTTTGTCAGGTTAAATTAGTATTTATTATAAAATAATTGAAATATCAAAGGTGCTTGGTTTTTCAATTTTGTGTTGTTTTTTTTCAAACAGTAAAAAACTTAAAAAGTTATAAATTCTTATAACCTATAACTTTCATCTATAAGCAAAATACATATATGTTAACTATTAAAAATGTAATTTTAACAAGTTCCAGTGATTTTTTGAAATAGGAAAAAATGTTAGCAACACATGTTTTTGCACGTCCAAAATCTATCATTCAACCAATTATTATTTTTTCGTTCCCATCTAACAAAATATTATTTTACTACAACTCTAGGTTATCATATATTTATGTTGTTTTAAACGATTTTCAATCAATACATTTTGTATGTATAGGTCCTGCAAAATCTTTATCGTGTAATAGCTTTTACCGTTCGATATAAATATTGGTTGAGTGCGCTGCAAATAAGATAAATACATGTTAAGCGCTCGACACGCAATGGTACAGTACATCTCTCTCGCATCATTAAAAACCCTAAAGACAATTAATCGCTTAAAGTTTAAATAGATATTATAACGTGAACCCACCAAAGACATTAATTCAATTTCCTTCGATACTAAACCTCAGTAGATATCAAGCGAAACAAATAACCGAACGAAAAGTACCCAACGCTGAAATCAGTGCTTCGCCTTTAATTCTTTTCCAATATTTACGTTATGGCGTAGGCCATACCCGAATATCCATTCGATTCTATATCGCGTAACAGCTACTATAGTTTTTCAAAGATGAATAGTCGCTATTCGTTATGTATTGCAATACTATAGGTGTACATTAGGGTGGTCCTCTAGTACAGATGAAGGAAAAAAATATTGCAAAATGTACGCTGTACATTAAAACCGACGAATCACGATAAAACGTACAGTCGTTTATATTAATACATAATTGAACTTTCAGAAACGAACGTGTGATAATAACGGTGCCGATGCACATAAAACAAATGCACCACACGAAAATGATTTACAAGATCATAGAAAAGCCCGTTCCCGCGGATACCATCTGGACGCCATCTACGGATCAAATGGGCTACCGCGATGGACCCATGCCGCATGACGGGGCGCGCGGTGACGAGAACCAAACGGTAGCGACGGCTTTCGGACACCACGAACGCGGTCCCGGACCAGTGCACGTCGACCACCACCGCGGTCG